ATTTTCCACCCTAATTTACGAATAAATTCTTTACAAATCCTACCATGTGGATTCATGGATTTTTTTTTCACATTCTGTCTCTCACAGTTGAAGTGAAATTACTGACCTCTGTCATCATTTTAAGTGGGGGAACTTGCACAATCGGTGGCTGACTAAATACTTTTTTGCCCCACTGTACATCTGTTATAGGCCAGTATCAGTTGTTAATATCAGCATATACTCACACATACACTTTATTAGAATAGAATAGCCTTTTGTCATTGTACAACAAAATTGTGGTTAAATATTTTTCGAGCAGAGGATGGTTTTGAGCCATCGACCTTTGGGTTATGGGCCCAGCACACTTCCACTGCGCCACTCTGCTTGGGACTCACAATCCCTAATTTAGGGATTAGGTCACTGCGGCTACAGTACGCTAGGTACACTTGGTCAACTGCTCATTAATCCAAAAAGCAACTCAGGACATGTAAACATGGTTAAGATGACCTGCTCGGTTTGAGCATCAGAAGTGGGGAGGCAGGTGATCAGACTGGTTGTTTGGTTATAACCCAGCGGCCCCCAACCCCCGGGCCACGAGAGTTAAGGCTCGGTTGTTAAACTTATTGTTTTCAGGGGTTTTTTTTCAGTTTTTATCGTTATTTTTTTAAATCGTTTTTATCATTCCCTGGGTCTTTCCCCGTGTGTTATGAATACATCCTCCTTTTTTTTGTACGGGTACTGATTTTATTTTGTTGTTTTTATTCGCGACACCTTAAAGGGCGGTCTGTGAAAATATTGTCGGACAAAAAAACGGTCCGTGGCCCAAAAAAGGTTGGGGACCGCTAGTTTAACCTACAACATGAAGAATTAAAGCTTTTCTGAAGGCAAAAGGGGTCCAACTTAATAGGAAGGTGTACTAAGTAAAGTGGCTGGTGAATGCATTGTTGGGCTCTACTTAAACCAGTACACATCTGCTTGCAAGGCTCTTTTTTCCCCTTAACAGCAGCTTTTATCTCAGTGCAGTACTGCCACATTTTGACAAATGAAGATAGATTGCGTGTCTCCTTATTACAATGTTTGTTAGATTGCGAGTGTGGTTTGTATAGTGTAATGGTGGTTTTCTTTAAACTAGCAGGTATGTGTGTGTGTAATGGTTTATGGGGGTTTTTCCCCTTTAAGTGCTGTGATGATTGTGTTTGCTTTTCACATGTCAAACCAACAGAAAGACTCACGTTTCCAAATATTTATTGATGCGGAACAAGAAAGTTGTCCATAAAGGATAAAACAACATTACTTCACCAAATAGACACGCTCTCCTATTACAGCTGCTTTCTCAGATGTCGTAATTATTCATTTCAGTACTTCTTGAGAATATTATGTAACAGCTAGTCTACCGACAGAACTTTTCTTTGAGATGAATGGTTGTGGCACTGCACCAGCCCCTTTTGACATGTAGACTAGTTATTAGTATCCCATTTGCACAGCAGATTAAATCAGAGGTATGTGTCTCAGCTGAGCATGAGAAAAGGCCTTCAGCACTAGCTGGTTGTCACTCTCAAGACTCTGGAGTTTATGTTAGTTCAGATGTGAACAGCCCATAGTGTCGCTATAGTAGTGTGTGACGTACTGTCACATACTTGTGGTTGGACAATTGTTTTGCTTAATGTAATGCCTTTGTGTGTGAACGTTCATGAGCATATCATCTTAGAGCATGTGGAAGTAAGTGGAACGGTGGCCTCTGTTGTTCTTTGATCAAATTAAATAGGCTATGAGGGTTTATAGTGACTCTATGATTATAGCAGACTCCATTGCACAGTGCAGTTTTTCTTAATGATACCAAATGTTATTTGTGTTGGTTATTAAACTGAAATAACTATGCTTGAGAGCTGACATCAATAGGTCTTTGCACTGAGGGGAGCTAACTGTTATTGGAGCTGTTTTTGTTGTTGCGGTGGCACTGATCTTACTCCCCTGACGTCACCCGTGTGATACACTCAGGAGATCATGGCAAAGAGCTGTAGAGCTGACAACTACAGGTTTCCTGGAGACCGGGCAGCAGATTTGATGTTGTTTTTCCTCCCACCCCCCACACTGAATGGACAATAACATGCGGAGGTTATAAGACCATCTCTCTGGTGTATCATTGGATTTAGTGTTTTAATAAAAATAAACATTAAAAACAAAACAGCCCAGTTGTTATGTCACACAACAGCAAAAGCACCTTGTGGATTCATAGCAGGCATATATGAAAAACCTTGTATTCATAACTAAATATACTCCCCGACCTTCAAACTTGCCACGTGGAAGGCATGAAGTAAAAAACCACAAGGTGTTGAATATTTCATTGTTACTGGATCAGGTTGTGTCATGACGGTGCCCTGGAAAAAAGGCCATAGATCACATCGGTGTGTTGTCATATCACAACCCCAGCCAACCTCTGTTCTAATCTCCAAGGCTCAGGAGGTACAGATTTGTCTGATCAAATTTTGCCCCTCTTAAAGTAATATTGTCTGAGGCTATGGGACAATGTTGAGACAATTGAGTGGGAACTATATCCTCTGTGCAGGATTCAAAATGCAATCAAACAATATTGTGTGATGTGTCTTTTATAGACATTTACAAAGGAATACAGTATAAAAAATACAGAAAACTGCACATAGCATTAATATCTAAATAAATTCTTTATGAATGACTCTTCATGTGGAGTTAGACTTACAGGAAATAACGAAGGCTACACAAGCAGCAGGATGAAATCTTATCTTCTGTTATGCGGAAAAACAATCAGAGATAAGTGTGCACTAAGTGGTACTGCAGCTAACCGCTGAAAACGGAGAAACTGCAGCTTGAGTCAGACCTGTTTATCACTTTCAAATAGCAGCCTCGCAAACAACAGGAAGATAGCAACTCTTGAAACCCCCAAGGTTTTCCAAAGAACAGGGGTAAAGGTTAGAAATTTGACTGGAACCAGATTTTAAGTGCAGTTGAAATGATTATAGACTTTTTGTTTTGTTTTTGTTTCCATGGGAAAGATTGACCTATACTCGCATGTATAATATAGGTCAAAACATGTTTGAAGACATAAGTTGTCCTGAGAAAAAAATCCCTTGAAAGTGAAATCACTGCAGGCACTTCAAATGCATTAGAAAGTGACATGTTTTAGATAAAAGTATTGCACACAATGTATCTGGAACGTCAGAGTCTGGACAAACTGTTTGCCGACTCTCTTATGGATGAACATAATACCAAGTAGATGAATTCCAGTGTTGAGCTATCTATACTGGCATGAGGACAGTGTTTACAGAGGACAGTTGTCCTTCCAGCATATTCCTGATTCGATGTCATTGTGTTTTCTTTGCAATGTATGAGCTGGAATGCAAGAAAACCTTGGTGGTTTTTGCTGGTGTTTGTGTACAAACAGAATAAGTCAGTGCAGTCATGTTTCCTGCTGATATCCTTAAAAGATGGTAAAGTTATGACAGTTGTATAGTCGGATAATGCAGGAAAAAAGGCTAGAGTGGGTTGAAAAGTGGAATCTCTTCATAGGATAGATTGTGAGAACTTAAGAGCCCCTGTTTTCTTCCTGGGAAAACACAAAAGGAGGGTTAAGTACAAGGAGTGCAGTAAAAGTTGTGAAACTAAATCGCCCATTTTTTGCCGTTTTAAGTTCGGGTTTCTTACAGTATAGGTCACATTTAGTGGCTCGGTCACACTAGATTTAAAATAGGATGGCCTGTTTTTACATTTTGCATCCTAGGAACAACTGGTGGTTTCCCAATAATTGCATAAACCTTTTTTGTGTTTGGTGGTATTATTGTAGGGTCTGCCTTACAATATGAAGCGCCTTGAGGCGACTGTTGTTGTTGGCGCTATATAAATAAAATTGAATTGAATTGACAGATTGTAAGTAGTTGCAGTGATCATTTGGTCACCAAGAAGTTGAATTACAAGCCACAGGTTGCCTGGTGGGAGGCAACTTGTCTCCAGTCACAGTCTGACTGGGACTGACTACAACCACACTGTGACGGATTGGTAAAGATTTGCAGATAATTGCTGTCTGACTTAAAAACGCAGATGGATTGCCAAGATGAGCACAAGTCACCTGGGACAAGTTTCTTTGCATATGTGGGCTTGATTCAACCGGTTGCCAACTGACTATACAATCAAGGTTGCTGAGCATCTGTGCCATTTTGTCTCTAATTTTGTGAAGGAATTTCTGAATATATATTTCAAATACACGAGGTTCTGGCTGGACTCTGAATGTAAGTAGTTAATGCAAATGAATGTTTAGTGAGAAATTCTGTGCATGTTGATGGCAATAGATTCGCAATAATTCATGATTATCATCGATGTATCAGAGTTAATTGCTTTGTTATCACATTCTCTTGCACACTGACAGCAGAGTGGCTCTGTCTTATTACTGTTTTATCACTGTCTTGATGCACAAAAGTTGCTCTGAATGGCAACTGATTGCAAGTTCTTGCAAACTTGGTACACATCTTTGAAACATCATCATTGGACTCAATCACATAAGCTGGTGATTTCTAGCCAAAGTGATAGAATATTCTTCAGTTCTACTAGAAATCATGCTCAAGGGTGATAATATTGCCTGACTTTCTGTTTCTCAAACCAGGGACAAGTGGAGGCTCATGTAAGGCTGCAAACCAGAGTTTCTGAACATGCAGATTTCTACATTGTTGTACAAGGCTCTAGACTTGCACACGTGATTAGAGCAAAAAGAGCCAATGATGGCTTGAGTCTCTGCTTCACAGTTCCAGGTATGTCCTTTAGTCAACCACTTTGGCTCTCACGTTGTCATCACTTCCTGCTTTGATTTTTTTAAATGATTTTCTCTATATTCCACAGGCCACAACCTTGAGGAAGTTGTTTCTGTCACATCCTACTTTCACATTGAGAACAAAGTCAAACCTTGTGAGGGGGAAGCGTCCTTTAAGTACGCCAGGGATGATGCCCAGGAAGTAGCAGAATACCTAAGTGAAAACAGAGACCAGCTTGACCCCCAGAGCTTCTTAGAGATCCTGAAGAAGTTTCCTTGTTGCGCACAGGGAGAGGATGATGAGCTCTTTGTTGAACAGTTAGCTCACCTTGAGCAGGAGGTGGAGATCAATAAAAGTTCAGCTGATCTTCGGCTGCTGGATGAGAAGATCACACATGCTTTGGCTAACATGGATTACCCTCAGCAGTGGAAAACAGATGGCCAACCTAAAGAAGGTAATGAAATGAAACGTCCAACTTTAAGTCAGAGGTTAGTTTCTGGAGACTTCAGTTAACCACTTGCATCTCAGGTTTCTATCTCTAAAGCCCAAATGTGTTTTCGTATTATTTTTGCTTCATGTTCTTTTTCTATGGTAGAATAATTGTACACCACACATCTTTAATGACTTTAAAAAGTACAATTGTGGGTACACAACTTTGAATTTATTTTGAAGCTTTCATCCACACAGGCTCAAATATATACATGCTTTGACTTTAAACTTTTACGTGGTGCTGAAGATTCTTTTATGTCTTTTAATGTGACAAGGTGAAGGCCTATTAACATCTCGTTAATAATCATGATTCAATCATGATTAACTGTTTTTTTTGCCAGCAACAAACAAATTGTTTGACAGCACTCATTAGATTGACCAATACTCTGAAAAATTGGAATGTCCAAGTAATAACGGTAGATTTACACAAGTTGAGGTCTCTTGAAGCCATTTCTAAATAATCAGAGATTGCAAGATCATTAGATCAAACAACTGTAAGCAATCACAAGTCTTTTGGATATGTTGGCACTTGCCAAGGTCTGGAAGAAAACCCAACCTGTCAGCCTCAGATGAGAGGAACTTGGTTAGAATGTTCAAGAACAACCCAGGAACCACCAACTCAAGCCTGACATGACCTGTAAACTGCAGGAATACCAGTCACTGTTCTCAGTGGAACGTGTTTTGCGTCATCAACAAATGAGAGGGCGCTGATAAAGGAAATCAACTAAAATTTGCAGCTGCCCACATGGACAAGTCAAATCCCTTCTGGAGAAAAGTTTTATGGGCATAAGACAGAAAGATTGAGCTCTTTTGTCACATTGACAAGAGTTTGTTTGGAGGCAGGTAAGGTAAAGGTAAGGTTTTCAAACCCAAGAAGACTGCACTAACTGTTAAGCACAGTGGTGGCAGCATCATGCTTTGGGGCTGTTTTGCTGCTGTGGTACTGATACCAACTGAGTGTTACAACAGGAGAGTGATACACAGTGTTGGGAAGGTTACTTTTAAAATGTATTCCATTACAGATTACATGCCCCAAAATGTATTCTGTAACGTATTCCGTTACGTTACTCAGTGACAGTAACGTATTCTGAATACTTTGGATTACTTAATATATTATCATGCTTTTTACAACACGTGAATGTACTATTGCTGTTGATTTATTACTTTACTGAAGGTCCGCGACTCCGAACTGTAGTAAAGGGACCTCTGACTAATACGGCGGGGTCCCTGTCGGCTCGTAGCCGAAAAATAGCTTTACTTTGTTGTGTGGGTCAACTTTTCTTGCGAGAGACAGAGAGAGGCGTTGAAAGGCTGCTCCAACGGAACTTATTGTTTCGGAGGAAAACACGAACACAGTGTACAGTCGAGTCTTAATAGCTTACTTACAACTGGGCTCGTCAGGCACTCTTCTTGGCTGAAGTGGTTATTATTATATTTACATGCTTCCAGCTCCCGTTTTTCCTCGATGACAACTCGTACCTTTCCACTCCCCTTTTTCTCCCTCCTCGCGCTCACAGACCCATAACGTGTATGGCAGTCCATTCTCCCTGCAACACGGACTACACTGCCCATGATGCTACATTCTTTAGAGCTATGCTTGTAGCATTCTGCCTGTTAGCTTAGCACAACAACAACAACAACGAAAAGGCGCTCTCTCACCCAGGAAACACACAGTCGCAGAGAGAGAGAGAGCGTCGCCCTGTAACCATGGCAACCGTAACGCTGCCGCCTGGAACAACAGAACGTAGCTGTCAAACAAAACCCAAACAGTCCTGACCCGCGACAATATGAAACAGGAAAGTACCGCAGTGTAATCCATTTATTTCAACAAAGTAACTGTATTCTGAATACCACCTTTTTAAACGGTAACTGTAACGGAATACAGTTACTCATATTTTGTATTTTAAATACGTAACGGCGGTACATGTATTCCGTTACTCCCCAACGCTGGTGATACACAATCCCAAATACACATCAGAAAGGCTTTTACCAATACTGCTAAGAAGAGTGGTCAAATATCCATCCAAAATTATGCTACAAGCTAGTTAAAGTGTCTGGTCAATGTGCAATTGTTATCGGGAAATTTAACCAAATACTGTTGTGCCTGTTTCGCTTTAGGAAAATCATAAATACCATTTAAGTCACTATCCATCCATTCGCTTCCGCTTATCCTTTTCAGGGTCGCGGGGGGCGCTGGAGCCTATCCCAGCTGTCATAGGGCGAAAGGCGGGGTACACCCTGGACAGGTCGCCAGTCTGTCGCAGGGCTAACACACAGGGACAGACAACCATTACACCACATTCACACCTAGTGGCAATTTGGATTATCCAATTAACCTATCCCCACAAGCTGCATGTCTTTGGACTGGTGGGAGGAAGCCGGAGTACCCGGAGAGAACCCACGCAAACACGGGGAGAACATGCAAACTCCACACAGAAAGACCCCGGCCTGATGGTGGAATTGAACTCAGGACCTTCTTGCTGTGCGGCAACAGTGCTAACCACCGTGCCACCGTGCTGCCCAAAAAATGTAAACTTGTGCATAGATTTTTTTTTTAAAAAGTAAGATCTATGCTGTAAAAATATTCCACCCTGGAAAAAGAAATTTTTAAAAAAATTATTAAAAGCTGCAAATTAGCATGATGAGTGTATGGAAACTTGGTCAAGTTTAATATAATAAGGGCAGTCTCTTAGCTGTCTAATGATGCCACTGAGAGTGGATATGCCTAATATCATGACTTCAGCCACACAGTTCTGGCTGTGAGTAGAGAAACCCCACCTACTTGCCGGTCAGCCCTTCTGTTAAAAAGGGACAGCCAATCAGAAAAGTTGACCTTAAAGGGAAATATGGGGAAACTGTTGGTTTCAGACAGCAAGGTTTGGTATTAGATAATATAAAACAATAAATAAAACATTGTGCTAGAAAGGAGCACACAAGGTGCCTACTATCTTCACACGTTGATATCACAAAAGTAAAGTTATTGAATCATTTGGAAAACATTTTTTTTGTAGTTTTGAGGAAAGGAACGTATTAATCCTTCAGGTCATTATTGCTCCGGTGCTCTGGTGTTCAGTGGTTTCAAACCCAATGAGATCTGACTGTGCGGCTCACCTCAGTCATCACATGATTCAGAGGACCAGGCAGCCAGTCGGGCAGAGGCTGGTTTGCTCCAAAGACAAAGTAATTATTGCCATTATTCTTTCTTGGTCAGATTAGAGTTGTCCTGCAGACCTCCGTGGCTGCTAAATCAACTTCCACAACCCTTTGCACTACACTCCCATTGCTAGAGTTTCTGGCATCTAGCCTTAGATTGAGTGATTTATTATGTTTTGTGCTATCCTTTGTAATGAAAAGGATTAAAATGCTCAACCGTATAACAAAATTTTAATGAAAATAAGAAATTAGGAATTACATATACTGGTCCAGCTGTTTCATTATGCCTTTACAATTCCAGACTGTTTGTATTCATCATAAGCAGAAAAAGCAAATGAGACTATAGGCAGCCTAAAGCAGCATATTCACATGTAGTGCTAAAGGCTGCATTCAGACTGTGTGTGTGTGTGTGTCCTTGTATTTGACAATGCATGTATGGTCATGGTTTGCTTAAAAAAAAAGCAAATGCTGATGCAAAGCTTGGGTGTGGTGCAAATTCAAAGTAGCTCTTGGCCCCCATAGCCATGCGGTGCACTATTTGCAATGGCAACAATTTGACAATGACGTGCTTGTTTGTTGAACTTTGCATAAAGAGCATGTGCAGCATTCGCAGCCCTCTCCAAACTGGGTCACAATTTAATGGCACCATTGTTGAGGCGGCAGGACATTTCAGTTCATTTTGGGGTTTCAACAAGAATTGGAAAGGAGAAGAGAAATAGTTGAATTCTTCTGCACATTGTTTCTGCACTGGAAAGATGGTACCATGGTAACTCTCACCCACAGATGGGGGGAAGACCCAGAAGATAAAATCTTTTTTAAAGTTTCTTCCTGAGCTTACAAGACGACAACGATGTAGAGAGAAGGATTTTACTGGTGGTTTTTCGCTTGCTCTTTCCTGCTGCCCTACATTAGACTACAGACTGTTAAAAGATCAGTCAGTCATAGGGAATAACGACTGCTGACATGTCCTCATACTCATTGTTTATGTTCCCTTATACTCCAGTGAGCAGGAGGCTAGATCTAGCAACTGTGTCACAGCAGGTGTTTGCTTAGGAAAGCATTTGGTTTTAGTTGGCAATGATAATATTCATATAGTGCATACAGGCATAACGCAGAGTCACTCATTGCTTATATGCACAGTGCCCTGCTGCTGTGTTGATGCACTGGAAGTCTATTTGAAATAGCAGGAAAAGTTCTGGATTCTTGAAGCTAATACCGCTTTTGATATTTGGGATTTCCAAATACATTCATATTGACTAAAAGTCATTTTTGTTTACATGAACAAATCACACAAACAATTCTGACATTGATCACTCAGAAGACACATGCTAAGAAGGCTGTTTTACATGTGTCAGCGCTTTTTAAACATCTCCTCGATTGAAAGATTATTCAGTATCTTTCTCCCTCCAGTAATTCTCTCTTTTCTTTTCTTTTTCTCCAGCTGTCAAACATCATCCCAGAGAAACCCTTCTCCACGTTGCGGTGCGTTTGGGTTTGGTTCACCTTGCCCAATTCTTAATTCACCAACCAAGAGGTCAAAGGGGATTGACCTTACCCAATCAGGATGGAGACACACCCCTCCAATTGGCTCAAAAGTCTGGACAGCATGCCATGTTCATGCTGCTAGCAGCGTAAGACTCTTATTATTTTACTGTTGTCTCTTTTCGACTATTGAAAGGTAGTAGTATTTTCCTTTTGAAGGTATTACTGTAATATCGTAAATAATTGCTTTATGAAGTAAATGATGAGTAATGATGAAAAAAATTAAGATGGAAATATACACAAAATGCACATGCATAAAATGTCAGAGAATTTATTTTAAATATGATAAACCTCTAACATTTCCACATGCAGTAATAACATTGTAAAGACTGAGCTTGAGAAGTATGTACAATAGCTGATATATTGGGGATTATTGTAGTAAATCTTTTCCTCATCAGCTCTCCAGGTCCTGCAGTCAGCCCTCTTCCTGGTGTGTGGTGCTTGTGGTCCAACAGTTCTTACATGCTGAGGTTCTGTCCTGGGACCGACTCTCTAGCCCTCTCTGTGAGGCATACCCCGGGAAGCTCCCCTCAGGATAGCATCATGGTCCTGCGAGAAAGACTAGAAGACTTCAGTGTTTCTAAAATGGTGAGAATAAACCACAGGGGATGTCTGTTAAAAAATTTAGGGAAAAAAAATGCAAAAGACTGTTCCAATGCCTGTCTGTGCTTGATGTAAATTTATGTTGTCAAGTTAAGGCCATATCATAAGTTTAGTAAACCCTTGTGTAAACACTCATGCTCTTTAACAATCATAGGTTTTGATAAGAGTGAAGCAGTAAATACATTACCTCTGCAGTACAGTAAAACGAAGGGCACGAGGGAATGACGTTAGCTGATGATAACAGGCTTAAGGGGATTACCTTAAAGAGCGAGAAGCCAAAGCAAATTGTTTCAGGCAGAGGATAAGCTGAGGGGTCGCATCAAGTAAGGATTATTTTGAACTGTGGATCATGTGAAACTACAATAGCAGTGTCCACGAGTTTAAATATGGAGTTAAAAATCAATATAATGAGTCCACCTTTAATGTTTGGACACGCTTGAAAATCCTTTTGTGAGCTAATAAAGCAAACAATGGTTCGACCTCTCCAATAACTCTGTGACCTGCTTCCTGTTGATAACCCAATCAGACCACTCAGGTCATCAGGTGCAGCTCTTAACTATTCCCAGAATTAGATCTAAGTGAGCTGAGGGAGCTTTCAGTCAATGTGGTCCTGTTCTTTGGAACAAAATGCCTGCTGACCTGAGGTCAGTTACAAATGGGTCTACACTCAGAAAAACCAATAGAAAGATTTTGAGTTTCTGTTCTCACAGGCTTATAATTAATATCTGTGTGTGGACGTGTGTGTGGGTGTCTGTGTGTGTTAAGTAGGGCTGGGTGTCGTCACTGATTTCTAGAATCGTTTCGATTCTGATTCACAAGGTCCCGAATCGATTCGATACGATTTGATTTGAATCTGGGAAATTTTGACTCAGTCAGAAATATTATAATTCTCATCACGTATCAGTACATTTCCATATTTTTATAGCTATAAAAACAAAGCCGACACTTGAGACTTTATCAAAAGTGTGAGCATCACAGCAGATGCCTTTGTGTCAAAGTAGCTGAGGATAAAACACAGAAAAACATGAAGGCGACTTTCCTTGCCTGGGATTTTATAGTAGATAACCTTAAAAATATTCTGCAGTAGATCAAAAACGAAAGAAAGTCATCAATCAACATATGAACATTACCTGATGCTGCTGAAGTGAAGGAGAGCAAAGTTACAGAGGTTTGTTTAGAGTCCGTGCCGTCGGGTGAGAAAGCCACATCTCACTGATTCTGATCCGTCGGCAGGTCCGCGCATTGTGTTTACGTCTTTGTGCAGAATCCGTGTTCCTGCTCTCTTTTACTGTTTTAGCTGTTTGGTGGTTGTTGAAATTTTGTGAGGTTTCACCTGAGATTCTGGCGTTTCGGGCAAAATAAATTTATATTAAAAAATCAATTCAGGATCGATAACACGTTATCCAAGCTAGAATCGATTTTAATTGATAAATCGATAATCAAAACCCACCCATAGTGTTAAGCACATTGAGTTTACATGTAATGAAATGCGCTCTATAAACAAAATTGACATTGATATTGAAATTAGTGTAATTCATACTAGCAAAAACAAAGCAAAGGCCGACCTACACTGAACTTCACATCTGAAGCAAACGCAAACAGAGACATTTGACATTCCTGGATGATGAATACGCAAATAAAAAACATAGCGATGTTAATAATGGATGTGTGATGTTGTTCATGCAAAGTTTGGTTCAGATTGGCCCATCTGTATGTGAGTACATATGGACATACATCCATACACAGTTTGTATATACACATATTATAGTAAGACTGCAGTAGTGACTAAATAATTGTACTTTATCATAATGTCATGTTTCTTTGTACAGTTCATGGCAGTTTTAATTTACTCAAACATCTGTTTCTGTCCAAGATCAATGTGCTCAGAGCTGATACTGTGGTGGGCAAGAGGGATACAGATGAAGGTGTTCAGACTGACAAAGGTAAGTTCTGATTTAAACTCAGTCTAATGTGTAGCATTGTGGTCAATTTGTGTTCATAATATCAGAGAAATTGATTACTTTCAGGCTTTTATCTGAAAAATATTAGGCCAATGTTTATCCAGCCTTTCGTGTACTTTGCATGGGGCCGGTCTCTAACCACATACATAAAATGTGATTAGGAAAAGCAGCTATGTCCAACTTATCACTGTATCCAAGATGGTGGGATAACATGGCAGCATCCACAAACCGGTGTCTGTTCCTGTGTATTTTTATGGATTAATTCCAAATTTGTACGTTAGAAGATGTAATTACACACTAATCAGTCTATATTTATGAGCACAGCAGTATTTCTTCTATTAAATAACCTCAAAATGCAGCTGATTGTACCTTTAATGGAAGTCTTCACCAAAAATGTTGGATTAGAATCATGGATTTTAGAATAAGGAATGGTCTTCGACCGTACTAATTGACAGTAAATATAAGAAATAGCTTTAATCAAGTTTGTCCTTACCCATGTTATTACTACAGAAGCAGTGGTTGAGCTCAGTCCACACTAAAGCAGTGTCTTGTCCCATATTACATAGACTTTCCGGCTGTGTAACCCCCCCCCCCCCCCACACACACACACACAACAATAAAGGTTCATAAACACACATGTCAGTACTGTTTCTTCCATGAACTTAGTCATGATCCAAATTCTTGATTGACAGATAATAAACTGATCATTGCATTTTTCAATATTTCAGATCACTTACTCTCATATTTGGACTTTGGGCTGTTTTGTCAGACAAAACTAGCAGTATAAAGACTTCATCCCAGGCTCTGAGAACCTGTAGCGGTCATTTCTAAACTGCTTTCTGATGCTTTGTAGCCGAAACAAAGTGTTTGATTTGTCAAAAATAACAATCAAAGGATTTTGCAATAATGAAAATAATAATTATTTACAACCCTGCTATTGTCATCACACTGATCTGCGCATGCGCGTGCGCAAACAGCTCATGCGTGTTGTCTGCCTGCGGTGGCATGCGAGTTTGGAGACTTTACTCTGGAGCAGTGGAAAAATGAACAGCCACAGATTCACTTGAGCAAACAATGATATGATCAGACATCCATCACTTAGGACCTAAAGAGACTAGAAAAACACTTTCAACAGACACCATAAAAGGCACAGCCACTGCACATCTGAGCCTTCAGAGAAAACCGAAGAAGCACATTGTTTCTCTTTCCCTGCGGTGACATGTTCAGGCTGGCATGCAGACATGCAGAGAGTAATCTTTGCTAATCTTCGATGCCAGCTGCGAATTATTTTCTATCATTCTATATCTGTGTCTCACATACACACACACATTTTGTGTTTCTTCAACCTGTGGCTACTCTTTTTGGTAACCATAGAGATGGCAGGTGGCAGCATCGACTCATAAAGGGAAGCAGGAAGTGTACCACGGTATTGACCTTAACCCCGTCGCGACTCTAGCAGCCGTCCATTAATCCTCTTGAAATAACAGCTCCACAGTAGGGAGCTTGTGCTCTTTCTCTGGACCTGCTGGTTTGGACGAGCGCAAAGTCTGATTGGTTAGTTTTCCATTCCTGGATAGCAGAGTCACATCCAGAGAACCTGATGTTGTGCCTTCCACATAACTCTCTTTTTTAGAGCAGCAGCAGCAGCAGCAGCAAGAGGAGGAGGAGGAGGAGGAAGATGAGGGTGTTTGTGTGTCAGGCTTCAGCTTTTGGTTAAGTGTTTTTCTTTTGCACAGGCATCAACAAGGAACAACATGTGAAAGAGCATGTGCTCGTGGACAGTGTGAGTATACATACATACGTTGTAGATGTTTGCAGATTTTTGAATGCAGCCATATGCATTTATGACTTTTTCAAGTAAACTATATGTAAATTTAGTGAAATGGTGTGCATGCTTTTTGTGTTTGCTTAAAGGTTTTTGAAGAGCAGCTCGTCCTGTCTTTAGATGACGATGATGATGAAGAAGAGTACTCATCCTCATTATCTGGTAACTCTCTTCTCTTCTCTTCTCTTCTCTTCTCTTCTCTTCTCTTCTCTTCTCTTCTCTTCTCTTCGACCTCTGCTTCAAGTATTTTCAGATGATTTATTCACTGGTCCAACGTTCTGGCCCAGCAATCACAACTTTTTATTTTCCGTTTTAATATTATGGCAGTAACTCTTCAGCATCTGGATTAAATGATGAATGGGTAATCCATAAAAAATACAACAACATATTTGTGGCTGCACTGAACAGCGGGGTGTGGGAACAGAACATATTAAGCTAGTACAGAAGCCTGGGGAGGAACTGTTTCTCTCGTGGTCTTAGCACAATATGCGAAGCTCTGTTTTGAATCACATCATTGGAAATCGATGCGGTTGCTGCTTCACAGGCACAGACAGGGATGGGCTTCTGTATTAGGCACAGAGGTGGTATTCGTTTATTAAATGGACATATTGTCCTCCGGGAGTCTTTGGATGATGCTGGTTGTGTCTTTACCCGCACTGGCTCCATAATGACTCAATCCAGGGGTCCAGGAATCTGCCCTGTCAGTGGGACAAAGACAGGAATGGGGTCAGGCTTGTCCCACTCAGACTTTGTCTGAGCTATGAGATGCCCCCCCTCTGGTTTGTCGCCCTGCCATCCCCTCCCCCGATTCTCTCCTGGATCAAACAGTAGAGCTGTGTACTCGAAGCAAGAGGTGGAATGTTAACAAGCTAAAGTGTCCTCGGCTTACAAAAGCTGACATTTCAGATAAGACACATGCATTTACACTGATTCCCTTTTAAATCCAACATCTACTCAAGACTATATAAGCTGAAGCTCATTGGCTAGTAAAAAAAAGTTGAAAAGGATGCTAAAGTGTTTCGGGTGTCACCACGGTTACTGCGAATGCTAATTTTCCTGTGTGATGCTGTGGAAGAATGAAGAGTTTGTTGTAAACTTTGGAGAGGCTCTGGTGCTACTGAATGGCGCTTGTAAATGCTGTATAAATGAAATTATGTGTGTGCGTTTACGATAAAGTGTCGGCGTAAAGTAGTGTCGCGTGAAAAACACGAGGCATCGATCCCATTGTTTTCCACAGATTGCAGATTTCTCCTTATATTCCTCAAGTTCTTAAACTCTCTTTTGGCCTGAGTGCTTTAGATGGGATGACAGTGTCTTGGGGCTACTGTGGTGAAAAAGTGTCATTTGGAGTTATTGTTTTTTCCAGATCTGTTGAAATGATCATAACAGTTTCTCATGTTTCACTGACATAACTCAGCGGTGGCAGTTATTGTTGGAGCTAGCTTGTGTTACGATTAGTCTACCAGCCGAGACTTGTGCTGCTTGTGTCTGTCACCATTAGATCCAGTACTGGAATCGTGGTTCTTTGTTTTTGCCTGTGTGAAAGGTTCTATTTAAAGGTCACAGCAGATACATAAAAACAAGATAAAAGTCATGGAACTATATGAGAAGTCTGCCTTGTATATTTGAGCTCCATGTGCGCTACTTGTATGTCTTCACTGTGTGAGAGCAGCAAAGAGGAAATGCCTCTGTGATGCCCAGGATTTCCTTTACATTAGTGCAGCCATGGCAGGTCCAGACATCAAAGTCTGGGTGGAAAGTGCACTCATCAAGGAAGGCAATTTTCCACGTGTTTAAAATAAAAATGCCAACCACCACTCCCTCACAGTTGCCCAAGTAATTATATACACTGTACACGTTCAACAGGACTTTACTTTGAGACATTGTTCAGGCTACTTTAAATTACTACATTTCATAGTGAAAGGGAAATATTGTGCTTTTTAAATACACTTAACGGTCACATTACTGTTGTGTTTTTTTTTTTTGTTCTGCACAATATACAGATCATGTGGCAGGCATTATAGTGTGTATATTTGTATAAATACATGCAGAGTTATTCAAAGAAGCTTAATCTGCCTTACCTTTAATCTAAACCAAACGCTCACATTTGCTAATAGGCACTAAAGACAAGATTCATCTGAAGTTAACTGGAAACCACTAATGTAGATTAGAAAAGAAGAAAAAATAAGATACACAAAAAAAGCAAGAGAAAAAAAAATATCTGAACACCAATAAAATATAGATTAAAATATCTGACAGTGTCATAGACAGGGGTGTCAAAAGTAAAAGCATTTTTTACTAGTACACATACTTGTGTTAAAATTACTTTGGTAAAAGTCAAAGCACTGATTCAAATTCTTTACCCAAGTAAAAGTGAGAAATTACAAGCTCTGGATGTGCTCAGATTAAAAAAGTTAAAAGTAGCTTTTTGGAGGGCAGCTATTTTTGAAAAAAGTAAACTGAACCTTGTGCTATATTAATAAAGTAATTAAATAATTAAATGATATTAACACATGAGAATACAAACTTTTTTTGAACAGGGAAATGAGTACAGTCCAACATTAAAGTGGGATTTCACAGGAGGGAACTCAGTCATTTCTATTCTGAGCTCTACTCCTGTTTATTATTGTGAGCTGTGTTCTTTGTGTACATGCTGTGATCAGCTGACCTATGTTGCTGCTGGTCTTTGTGGATTTACACAACTGAATTAAACAAGCTGTAAGCAAATTTTTCATGAGCTAGCTTCTCTGATTTCCGTTCCCTACACTGGCAGTGTACTGTTTATACTGTCATTATACTAGACAGTATTATAAAAGTTGAATGAACCAAAGCATCATCATCTTAAATTCAATTTAATCTCTGCTACCCTTTATGTAAACCAACTCTGACCAGGAACACGTCACCGGCTGTGCACCAGCCCAGTACAGTGCTTTACTGTATTCACATCATATACGGATCCAGTGTCATATTTTTAAAAATGAGGACATTACATCCTTTGTCCGGCCCGTCTTTCTACATCTTTTTCTTTCTTACATCTTTCTCCTTGTCTGAGTGAAGTTATCTTTTCTTCCTGTGAAATGCAACAGCTGCACCTTTAGCTAGCAACACACTGTGTGACAAACTGCACACAAACAGTTTGTGTGTTTGCTGATGTGTGTTGAACTGTTAGTGACACTGCATTTTAAATTACTTAAAATGCTTAAAATGCTTGCTCCTCCTATTGTAGTGCTAGCTAGACGCTGAAGTACCGTGACCGCAACTTATGTACATCTGGACTAAAAATTTAGTAACTTGCGCATAGTGATATAAACGGTGCATAAATTTTTTATATATTTGCCTTTTTCATCTCTGTGTAGGCAGAAAGCCCTTGTAATGGATACACCAATGAGACAGTCTTTCATGAGCTATTGTTACCTCCATCTAGACTCATATTGGTTTAATGTTTTGAAGTGTGGAGTAATGGTGAATTGTGCTGTTCTACTTAAGTACAGTAACCAAGTATTTGTACTTCATTACCTCAAACCTCTGGTCAGTATAATAGCTTGTTATCACCCACAAACTCCTCAGGGAGTCACTGAGTGTATCTAAGGCGACCCCTTGCAAAATAAGGGAGCTGCTGGGACCATAGACACTATAAAAAAAGTACCTAATGGTATGTTACCCACTGGTTCGTCTTGTTATGAAGACTTAAACTGAGCTTTTTTTTGTGATTTTAGTGTTTTGAAACCCAAGCTGATGAGTATGGAATGGATCTGACTGTGAAAGAGCACCTCATGCTCATCGGCTAATGACTTATTCACATTATGAAATTCATGTTTTAGTCACTATAGTCTGAAACTAGTGATTGTCCTCTGGGAGTCATCACAAAAATGTCGATTGAGGTCACATAGTGAGGGAGCACAGGACCGTAGACCAGTGTTTCCCAACCTTTTGGAGCCACTGCACATATTTCACATTAGAAAAATCACACGGCACACCACCAAACAAAAATGTCACAAAAAGCATATTGATCATTTCCCCCTGCGCACAAGGTAAAGCAGAATTGGCTCAGTTTGTCCCCATTATACCGTTTTTGCTTTCTTCTGGCCACTACTCATGCTAGGGACTTCATCTGGGTTGGAATTTTTCCCAGGACCCAGGTCAGATTGACTACTTTTTCTTTTCAAATATTTATCTATTGCTATTACGCGCTGTGTTTTCTCACTCACAGCATGACTATTATATAATTTCTTCTTTGTCTTCTTCTGTTTTACTGGCAGTTATCAACCCATTTAATTAGAGCAGTTGTAGTTGTAGTACTGGTTGTACTGCCCTCTAGTGGAAGAGAATGTAATTGTTCTGCCCGTTACACCGATCGCTTAGAGTACAAATCAGGTGGAACCAGATAATCTTCCATGACACACCTAACCATTTCTCATGGCACACCTATGTGCCGCGGCACTGTAGTTGGGAAACACTGCCGTAGACTTCTATACAAGCAAAAGTCTGTATGCAGGAAAAGGTGTCGTCCCCTGCTGGTCATTAACTCCAAGATCAGAACCTTGACGTAACTGCCGGTTCCCTGCGTCAGCCTCCTGGAACTAACTGTTCCTTTCTACACAAACTCTGACCAGTCCCTAAAACCTCACTTCTGTCTAAATACCAAAGTATGTAGTGTTTAGAAACTTTAAGACAAAGTAGATATTAATGTTATGTCGCCCTAAAAAGAGATTATTAATTGGCAAAATAGCTCCCAAATGCCAGAGGCAGCACATGCAAACAGATCCTAACCATGTATAATAGGCTCAGTGACCAGAAAATGTCAAAAGAAATTAATATGGCGACAAAAGGAAAACAGATCAGATTTGAAAGGTGAGATTAAGACAGAGATGCGTGCCTCTCTTCAGTGCCAAGCAAGTCTAACAACTTCAACTCTGATTTCAAGTATTTATGACCTCTTCAACTTTGGAAACACG